CTCCATTATTTGATTATGCATCATTTTGTAAAGTTCTTTCGATTAATGATATTGGTCAAATGATAGTTGATGTTTTTAAAAATCATAAATATTTAGCAAAAGAAATAATGAAAATGTTTATGACAAAAACTTCTTTAAAGAAATTATCCTATTATACAGATCCAAACACTATAAATTTGTCATTTCTGCGTTATCCTGGAGCAAAAGATTATTTATCAAATCTTTCAAAATTAAGTTGTAGTTCTGATATTAAAACCAAATTTTTTTATATGTTATCCCAAATGTGTTGTAATATTCAATCATTAACTATAGAATTTAAAGATATAGTTTCAAATGATTTAAAAATTTTAATTTCTTCACAAAATAATTTAAAATATTTATCTTTATCACGAACAAGAACATATAATACAATAAATTGGACAGATATTATACCTTCATTAGCAGAACATTCAAAAAGTTTAACTAGGTTAAAAGTTCATTGGAGAAAATATGATTATTGGAATAGAACAGAACAACTATCATTTATTACTACATTCACCAATTTACAAGAACTTGTCTTATCATTTCATCATAAAGATTGTTTTGTTGGATTTAATAAGTTACAATATATTACTTTTTCACAATTACAAATTTTAAAGTTTCCATATGAATATCCAGAAGATGATGTGTTAATTAAGTTATTGGAAAATAGTGGAAAAAATTTAAAAGAATTTTACATTAATAGTAGTAGTAATTTAATATTATTAACCGTAGCTGAATTTTGTCCAAATCTGAAATCATTATATGCCCTATTTAATTATGATAAAATAGAAACATTAAAAGCGATACTTAATAATTGTCAACAATTAGAAAGTATTGAAACTCGGTATTATTTCAGTTTGTTAAGTGAAAGAGAGCTTTTGGGGACTTTAGCAAAATATTCACCAAAGGATTTTTATAGATTAAAATTAACTAATTATTCAGATTCACATTTAGTCCCAGGAGATTTAGAAGAATTTTTTACTAATTGGAAAAATCGTGTTCCGCAAAGACCGTTTTCTTTTATTAATAAAGGATTGTTTGGTTTAGAGAATAGAGAAGGGAATATGAGAGTGATCGAAAAATATAAAAAACTTGGTATCATTAAGAAATTTGAAACTATTTTAATTACTTTGTATTAAATGTATTGTATATAATTATTAAATTGTTATTTACTTAGAAAATAAAGTTACATTTTATACAATTATTATTATCAAACTAACGCCACTACCAATTTACTTATTGATACTTATATGATCGCTAAGGTACTAGTTTCAAAGAAAGACAAATCTCAACAAATAAATCTTATTAAAAAATATAATTCGTCCGTCATTGTCCTTATAATTAATATTAAATTTGTTTCATTTTGTGAACACCTTCAGTTATTATTACTAATCAATCGAGATATCACTCCTGTTATTGAAAGTTATTAAAATTGTTAATCTTTGGTGTGATAAAATTATGGTGAAAATTTCCATAAATATTCGTTAAGATTCTCGGTTGTCAATAATTTCGAATAAGGCAATAATTCATTTTTGTCATATTATTTCTGTTTGTTAATCATGTGGGAACCATTCAAATCCCCACGATCAAAATCCTGAAAATTCAAATCCTGAAGCTTAATTATTTCTGTCACTCATTTCCTAACTCCATAAAATTGGAATTATCGTCTCACACCAAAGTCTGTTAACCATTAGACATGAAAAGAGAGATTTTGAATCGTCTTTGTAATTCTTTAAATAATAAGAACAGAACATATTTATTAAGTTTAGACATTTTTTTTTTTTTTGCAACATTCAAACATTCATTATCCCAACACATTATCTTTTTTATTATAATTTCGCAAAAAAAATGTCTCGTTTTTATTACATAATTAATGATTTTCATTAATATATAAATATTATTATTGATACGTATTTATTGAAACAATTATGATTATTATAATATTTTGCGATAATATGCCGGGATCTTCGGGATTTCGTAGTACAGAAGAGCATTTAGTTCTTTATTTTGAACGTTTAGATGATGGTTTTCCCTAACATACACAGATTAAGCCGGTTCGTCAAAATAAACCTGGTTATACTAATTTTCCAATGGATCCGACGTGGATTCCATATAATGACGGTAAAAGACATGGGTCCGGATGATTACAAATGATTACAAATCAAAAATGTTGATCAACCGGATCCCGGTTCACCAGCTGAGGTAGGAGCGAAACTTAGTATAATAATAAGATTTGAATCAGTGCATATAAAGCTAACATAACGCAGTGTAACATAATTAATAATTACACGACTAATTGAGTGTTCATTTTTTATGCCAAACAATATCAATAATATAGAAATGATCTGCGTTATATGAGAGTTTGTGTAATTTTCTCAATGAAAATGTTTGTAACACGGTTGCAGATGGCGCAAGTATAAATGCCGATTCAAATTTTTTTTTTTTTTTCAGTTAAAAAATCTCAATAATGCCTTTTCAACTTCCTGCTGATTGTCTTAATGAAATTTTCGAATATTTAGAGAAAGATAAAGCCTCTTTATATTCATGCTTATTAGTAAATCGTCTTTGGTGTGAAATTTCTGTTAGAATTTTGTGGAGAGATATTTGGACAACCAAACCCGTTACCCATGGACGACGTCGATTGAAAGTTAATCCAACAATTCTTAATACATTTATCACTTGTCTTCCTAATAATTCAAAAACCCACTTGCTTAAGAAAGGAATTCTTAATTCGACACAAATATCAAAAACTCCATTATTTGATTATGCATCATTTTGCAAAGTTCTTTCAATTAATGAGGTTGGTCAAACGATCATTGATATCTTTAAAAATCAAAAATATTTAGCAAAAGAAATAATGAAAATGTTTATGGCAAAAACTTCTTTAAAGAAATTATCCTATTACTCTGATCCAAACACTATAAATTTATCATTTCTGCGTTATCCTGGAGCAAAAGATTATTTAACAAAACTTTCAAAATTAAGCTGCAGTTCTAGTATTAAATCCAAATTTTTTTATAAATTATCTCAAATAAGTTGTAATATTCAATCATTATCTATAGAATTTAAAGATATAATTTCAGATGATTTAAAAATTTTAATTTCTTCACAAAATAATTTAAAATATTTATCGTTGATACAATATAATAATACTGATTGGAGAGATATTATACCTTCATTAGTAAAACATTCGAATACTTTAATTAAATTAAAATTATTTTTGAGGAAATTTTGTAGAATTGGACAATTATCATTTATTACTAAATTGACAAATTTACAAGAACTTGTTTTATTATTTCGTTATAATTATCATTTTGATGAAATTAATAGTAAATTACAATATATCACTTTTCCACACTTACAAGTTTTAAAATTTCCATGCGCATATCCAGATCATGATATGTTAATTAAGTTCTTAGAAAACAATGGGAAAAATTTAAAAGAATTTTATATTTTTAGTAGTGATGATTCATTAAATTTAGCCATAGCCAAATTTTGTCCAAACCTTATATCATTATATACTTTATTTAGAAATGATAAAATAGAAACATTTAAAGTAATTCTTAATAGTTGTCAACAATTGGAATCCTTTGAAACTCATTGTAATTACGAATTATTAAGTGAAAAAGAACTTTTAGGAGCCCTGGCAAAATATTCACCAAAAAATTTTTATAGATTAAAGTTATCGTTAGCTAATTATCTATTAGATTCAAGATTAGTTTCAGAAGATTTAGAAGATTTTCCTACTAATTGGAAGAATCGGGTACCACAAAAATCGTTTTCGTTTATTATTAGAGGATGTACACGCAGTTCAGAGACTAAAGAGAAATATATGTCAATGGTTGAAAAATATAAAAAGCTTGGTATCAATATTAGATTTGATTTTAGTTGTTATAACTAAGTTACTTAGATGGGAGAAAAAATTTTATATTATTATTAACCAATAACATTATATACGGAAAATCGGATGTTTAAGGACTTTTAAATATAATCAATTAATCGTAGAAATTTCATATTAAGTCATTAGTTTATGAGAATTTTGAGTAAATTTCGGGTTTTTATATACTTAGATTATTTTTTTTTGTTTGGTTCATATAACGTCAGTTATATAAAGTAAAAGTAATTCTTTTTGGGAGAATCGGCATTTTTTTTTCTTTCTAGAGGTTCTTTATTTTTTTTTAGTAGCTACTATAGGAAATTTCCCCGATTTGTATATTTTTTTTTTTTTATTTGGTTATTAAATTTATTAAATTTCAACTTTCTTTACTTTTTTTAAAATGATTTATAATGAGATTCAGGATCCAAAATTTGTGCACGGACTTAAGCTTCTTGATGGTTGCCGCAATTTCAATTTTTTTTTTGTAGTATTAACCCTGTTGATTTTCTTTCTATTTTTTAATATTTAGATCCCTTAACTTCCATTTATCATTACTTCAATTTTAGATTATTTTAAAGATTTGATTTAATCAATTATAGGAATGTTCATAAAAGTTTTATTGAATGCTTTTAGGCCTTTAATATTATGCATTTATTAAAATAAAAAAAAAATTGAATATTTCAAAAAAAAAAAAATCGAATAATTTATACTCGAAAAAAAATTGAATATTTCAAAAAAAAGAAAAAAAAAATTTGAATATTTCATATTCGAAAAAAAAATCAAATAAAAAAAAAAAAATAGTATGTCTTGATCACTTGAAAACGTTAACGTTGAAAAGACTGGCAAGGTGTAGTACTGACAAGATTATATTAAAGTTCATATTGAGCGTTAAAAATCATGGTGAAAGCCATTGATTGATCATCGCGGCCAGCCGTGATGATAATCAGAATATTACTAACTTACTGTATACAATTCTTAGAAGTAAACGTATCAATAATTAACTAAAAATTTCCGTATTTCAATTAAGAAAAATCATAGACACCATAGACGACTGTTAGGAACTGTACTACGCGTCTACGCCAAAATAATTTGAATCTAAAATTTAGATTTCACAAGTTGTACGGCAATGTTCTTCGTGTAATATACTCCACCATTCGATATTATTGGTAAGCAAGGCTAGAAAAAGCAAAAGAATTGCTACTATAAAACCCCAAATGCTAAACCAGGCGTGAAGGAACTCATTACCTTCTACATCGTGTTCTTTTATTAGGTGGTTTATATATGCCAAAGCACTGTTGATTGACCATATAGAGCAGATTATTGTGAGATATTGGCTCCTACAATAATATCCAATTGGGGGTGTGTAGATCGCTAAAAATACTGTTAACCAGGGATATACTATGGATACAAAGGCAACTAGTGTAACACTAAAAAGTTTATGTTTTCTGTAGCTTTCACTTCCCGGTTTCATAATTATTTGTATATCTTGCAACTCAAATTCACAATTAGGGTCTTTAACTACTAGGGTCCCCGATATTACTCTCTTGAGGATTGCTGGAATTGTCCAGGATAATAATAATGGTATAAATGGCCAATCTTCACAATTATTTATTCCTGTCGTCCTGGATATTGCCGCGATTATACCGACTAATATGTAATATGTTGACACCAATGATGACATTCTGTCTAGCACAGATGCTCTTGCCGTACATCGGTTAATATATTTCACTATATTGCTAAATTCATTCCGTTCTTTATCCACTGACATAGCGTAAACTCCGACAGGTCTGTGTTTAAGTTGTTGCAGCTGTTGATTTCGTTGTCCTGTGCTACTAAAATATTTTGACGAAAGCCAGTAAATACAGAGCTTTACTTCGTCTTTTCCTACGTTACAGGAATAAAGCAATCCCGTAAATGGACAGCCAAGGCATCGCAACACCCATGCCAACTTTTCCGCAAACTTCTCTTTTGGTGATGCTCCCATAATTGCAATAGCCGGTAAGCAACCCAACACATATTGGGTATAGGATTTAAGAATTTACTTATGATATGTATAGCTTTTGATTCCATGTATGCAAGAAGTTTTAATCAATCAAAGTAAAAGACCCTATGTATATGCACATTAAAAATGACATATTTTGTAAATGCTTGTTCGTAAACTTTAAAAACATTTAAAAAAAAATTATACCTACAGTGTACTTAAAAAAATACGTTTAAAAATCACTAAATACAAATTTTAGGCATTTTATATTGTTTTCGAAGACGAACAATATTAAAAATTTCATTGTTAAACTACAGAGATTATCCAAGATTATCCAGACCCTTGAAAGTAAAAATGACCACTTTGTTGTAAATCGGAATCTTCGCGCAATCGGGATTGTCAATTCATATTTAAAAAAAAACCAAAAATATCAAAGATCGGCATTATGATTCGACATTTGAAATTCTTTTAAGCTTACACAAAATGGATTGTGCTATCATCTGATTTGCGTGCACTAAGTAGTTATAGTAAGATATGTAATTGTAATAAATTAATGTTTCATATTTATACTATTTTCGTAGAATTTCTAACGATTAATCCTCTTCTGGATTAGTTTTTTTGATGCGATTATTAGTTACTGGTTATTCACAGTGATATGCATTGGAAGACCGATTCTTCCAATTCCAAGCTTTCCAATTCCAATAAAAGGTTATTGGAAGCTTCCAATGCACATCGCTGGGTTATTGTATACTACTAGTATGCGGAATTGACTATTTTGGTTGACGATGCTTTAGCTGCTACAGCCGTTAGGCCGGCTAAATTCTATCCGGTATCCGGAATTGACTATTTTGGTTGACGATGCTTTAGCTACTAGTCAGCCAGCTAAATTCTGTCCGGTAACATAAAATTATCTAAATATTTCTCTTTTTACTTCAACAGGAAATTTAGGTCAAATGCTATTCATGATATTTTATTTGTTCAACAAATTAAGAATAAAATTATATGTGACAGCTGACGTGCATCAGATGTACAGTAGATTGATACCTTGACACGCGTGACGCGTCACTGTCATCTGACGCAAATCGAAAACATACTGCTGTATAATTATAGTATAATGTGTCATAGTACTCCGCAAATTTCTGAGGGTTGATCATGTCTATAACTCGAATTTTTTATTACGAATAGAATGTGTTTAAAAGTTTGTATAGTAATAAGATTTATTAAATACGTAATATATCGATATGGGCAAAATAAGATTCTATAATAATAAAATCAATACGTGAAAGAGAAGGTTACTATGCATGGGTACTGTGGTTATAATATCAGCTGCCGACTATGCCATTTAATTTTCGCGGCCTAGTTAGCTACATTTTTCATCCACTAAATATTTACTGTAATTACGAATCAAATTAAGAATTAAATCGATAAAAAATGGTAATTAAGGTTTTAACAAAAGAATTATGAAATAACTATTTTATTGAAAATCCATAAAATGCGCCGACAACTTGCTGGATTGTCGGATTTGTCGGGTTGTTGGCAAATAAAAAAACTCTTTGGATTTTGATGACGCTGTCCCTTATATTACAAGTTTCGTGATTATCGTAATCGTTTTAACAGTTAACGGGTAGTTAACGTATAAATACCGTAAATATTACTAGATTTGACAAAAGTGCACAATACAAAGTATTTAACGACGTTAGCTTCAACAATTGTATAATAATGATTTTAAAGTAATTATTTCATAATATTTAAAATATAACGATTTGATTTATTTCTATATATATATTTTTTTAAATAAATAAATACAAAATATAAATTAATTATATATAATATAAAACCCTATTTCAGTTCAAATTTTTTAATAATACCTAACTCTCTGTATTTTTTAATTATGCCCATATTTTCTTCTTTTGCCCCAAAACTATTCATACACCCTCTAAAAACAAGAGAAATCGATCTCTGTGATACACGATTTTCCCAATTAATAAAAAATTCCTCCAAATCTTCTGGAACTAATTGTGAATATGAATAATAACGTACTTTTAATTTATGAAAATTTTTTGGTGAATATTTTGCTAAAGTTCCTAAAAGTTCCTTTTCACTTAACAAACCATAATAATATTGAGTATCGATACTTTCTAATTGTTGACAATTATTAAGAACTGTTTTCAATGATTCTATTTTATCAAACCTAAATAAAGTAGATAGGAATTTTAAGTTTGGACAAAATTCAGCTATTGCTGATATTGTATTACTACAATTAATATAAAATTCTTTCAAATTTTTCCCATTATTTTCTAAGAATTTGGACAATACATAATCTTCTGGATATTCGTATAGAAATTTTAAAATTTGCAATTGTGGAAATGTAATATCTAGTAACTTACTATTAAGCCCAGCAAAACAATCTTTATGATGAAATGATAAAATAAGTTCTTGTAAATTGGTAAATGTAGTAATAAATGATAGTTGCTCTGTTTTATTCCAATAATTATATTTTCTCCAATGAACTTTTAATCTAATTAAACTATTTGAATGTTTTGCTAATGAAGGTATAATATCTGCCCAATCTGCCGTACTATGCGTTCTTGTTCGTGATAAAGATAAATGCTTTAAATTATTTTGTGAAGAAATTAAATTTTTTAAATCACTTGAAATTGTACCATTAAATTCTATAGTTAATGATTGAATATTACAACAAATTTGAGATAACTTATAAAAAAATGCAGATTTAACATTAGAATTACAGCTTAGTTTTGAAAGATTTGTTAAACAACCTTTTGCTCCAGGATAACGTAAGAATGATAAATTTATGGTCTTTGAACTAGTGTAATAAGATAATTTCTTCAAAGAAACTGTCTCCATAAACATTTTCATTATTTCTTTTGCCAGATATTTTTGATTTTTAAAAACATCAATAATCATTTGACCAATCATATGAATTGAAAGAACTTTGCAAAATGATGCATAATTAAATAATGGAGTTTTTGAGATATGAGTTGAGTTAAGAATTCCTTTCTCAAGTAAATGGGTTTTCGATTTATTAGGAAGACAAGCTATTAATGTATTAAGAATTGAAGTTCCTACTTTTAATCGACGACTATAATCAACATAATCAACGGGGTTAATAATCCAAATATTTCTCCACAAAATTCTAACGGTAACCTCACACCAAAGACGATTAACTAACAAGCAAGAATGTAAAGTGGCTTTATCTTTTTCTAAATGTTCAAAAATTTCGTTAAGACAATCAGCAGGAAGTTGACGAGGCATTTTTTTTTTTAATATTTTGTAATTGAAGAAGAAAAAAAAAAAGTTGGCACTTTGTGTTTGTACCGTGTTACAAAAATTTTTTCATTGTGAAAATTATGCGTCATGTTACACAGACTAATAATTAAAAGCCAACCATTTAACGTTAAACACTATGCATTTAACTAACCCCTTGTTGATACATTACAGATCATTACCAAATTGTTGATATTGTACATCTATAATTAAATGTATTACAAGCAAAAAAAAAAAAATTAGTCATAATGTATGATTGTCACGTCGTTACCTCTGTATTATGTTACCTTGTAGCACTTTAAAAAAATTTTATATACCGTGACATCTGCTACATGATTGGCAAAACTAATATCAAGGTTACAAATTCCTGCATTTATGGAAAAAATATGGGATTATAGAAAAACCATTTTTTAGAGATTATTGACCTTGATGAGTTTAGGTGTTATGCACCATACGTAGGGCTAATAGTAAACGAGTGCCGATCTCTTCTTATCTACAGTATTTGTATAATTGCTCGAATCCTGCATAAGTTGTTTATATAATAATTGCTTACTATATAATAATATAATTTCTGAAACTAGTTTCATTCAATATCGGAAGTTTTAGAATTTCATCAAAGCAGTATTTTCGTTAAAAAGAAATACAAAAATATCGTGTAAAAACGTGTAAAGAGATTCAGACATCTGATCGGTCGTTCAATGATTTCTACTATGCCCGATCAGTTAAATTAATCGAATTTTGGTTTATCGGGCTTATTTTGTGTGCTCATAATTAATTCATGTGATCACCCATGTAGCGCATTATTTTGCCGAATTATAATAAATTGGCGAAGAGCGGTTCTCCGAGCTAATTATAGATTTCCGGGAGGCGGTACACAGTTTCTTTACTTTACGCACAAAAAATAAAAATTGTAAAAAAAAATACGTATTTTTATCTTTATTTACAGCATTAGTAGTCATACTTTTTTCTTTTTCCTCGAATCAGTCGTTATCAAATATTTATTGTATAACGTATATTAATTAATATAAACTATAAATCAATCCCTATAAAAAAATTTTATCCGTTGATTTTTGCAAAAACTCCGTGAATATGACACATTTACGGAAATAACATGGAATAAAAAACGCGGAATAAATTTTTTTATAGGGAATAAATCTACGCAATATCATTTTTATTTACGCGCATACAAAAAATGTGTGCAAAAAAAATGAAGCTTTTATTATATAAAGATCCGTTTTAAGGCTTCTACCCTTTCTTTATTCTTTGATATCCAATCTTCTACTAAGTATATAATCATTTTTCACTCAATCATAGCTATTATTATAACCAAAATAATTAACTCATAATAACAGTCTCTATTTATTTTGATTTTTGCTTCTCTTCCACAAATGCCGACAATACTTAAATTATTAAATCCCATTCCTCAATATGTATTGGGATTATCCGCTATCGCAATAGTGGGAGAAACCCGAGAGAGAAGTTTGGAGAAAAATTGGCATGGCTATTTCGATGTCTTGCCTACCAATTTACGGATTATTTTATTCCTATAACGTTGGGAGCAGCAAGGCAGATCAATGTTTATATTGGCTTTCATCAAATTAATTGAAACCCGAAAGTCATTCTTCAGTTCGTTACAGATCAGTCGGAATTCATATCAAGGTAACGAGTCAAAATGAACTTCAATAATGTATAAATATAGGAATAAGACGATACACAGC